GGTCGCCTGTTTCCCCGTCAGCCCGTCAGCTCGGTTTGTGCGAAGGTCTCACGTGTTGGATTGGAGCTTGTTTCCAGCACTTCCTGCCGTGCTTCGCTCTCGCCGTCTCTCCGTGTGTCTGTCTCGCCTGTGAGGTGCTTGTTTCCTCTGCACCGTTGACTGCCCTGCACGCCGCGACGGAACGGCCCCGCTGTGAGGCGCGGCCCCCTCCACTCTGGGCATTTCTGCTTTGCTTCAGTGTCTCAGACACACCCCTGAGTTTGCCTTCTCTCCGAGCGACGAGTCCCACTCAGGTCTTGTGCTGGGTGCGGGGTTTGCCGCTTTCGCCTGTTTCCTTCCCGCCCACATGTCCTGTCCCTCCCGGCACCCCCTCCCCCGGTGGGTTTGTCTTTACCAGTATTTTTAAAGTTATGCCAAGGCCCCGCCCCACCCCACCAGGACGGGTTCTTTTAATGCACTTTTAAACCCCCTGCTCTGATGGCTTATGTTTTTTAAAAGTAGTCAGAAATCTTAACAGTTACATTATTTTTAAAACATATCTTGCTTTTCTCCCCAAAATATTTTTTGGAAACCAAATCACACACACACACACACACATCTCAGAGGGAAGGCGGGGCGTGGGGGTGGGAGGGGCAGAGATGAACCAAAGACCGTGTGTGGAGTCTGCAGAGCCCACGGACTCACCACGTGTGGTGAAGGCTTGGGGGAGGGGCAGCTAGAAAGGGTCAGTGGGGAAAAAAGGGGACGCCTGTAATGCCTTCAACAGTAAAGGTTTTTGGAAAGTAAATAAATAAACCGTAAAATAAAAAAATAAACCCCAAACGAATCCCCAGTGAGACACCAGGGCGGATGTGGGCTGTGGCTCCCGGCTGCCTGGGCTCAAGCCCCAGTCTCCGTGGTGGTCACAGGGCGTGTGGCCTTGGGCGCCTGAGCTCTGCCATCTGCGCACCTGGAACAGGGAAGAGGCAGCAGCCGCCTGTGCTGACGGGACGGCGGTGGGGTCTGGTGGTGCGACACGTGTCGCTGGGGTCCACGCAGTCCCTCAGGGACGTGCGCTGCTTCAGGGGCTGGTGCCACTGTCTGTGGCCTCGAACCTTCGGGTGGCGGTGCTTGGAGAGTCTCGGACGCCCAGGTCCAGCTCAGGCACGGAAGCCCCCTGGATGGAGGGAGGCACGGCCGGGCCTGGCTCCCCTCTGCCTGCTGCTGTGGGGGCTGTAATGCGCTCACCAGCCCTCCCATGCCTCCCAGCCTGCCCGCTGCCCCTTCCTCTGCCCTCTCCCCCAGCAGCCCCTGGAGCAAGGCCTTCTGGGACAGTCCTGTCCCCGGTCTCCCCGTGTGCTGCGTCACCGGCCGCATAGCCCTCGTCCAGCTGGGCCGATGTAGTTGTCAGCGAGTCCGCTCAGTGGGTGGCGGGTGCTGCTGTCTCAGAGGCTGGAGGCCCCAGCGCAGAGCTGGCCTGGGGCGTGCCTGCGAGTGGCCTCTGTGCTGTCCCCCGAGCAGGCTGCCTCCCTCAGGGAGCAGGCACTTGGGCAAAGACACACGCAGACAAAAGGGCACAGGGAGGAGCGTCGGCCAATCAGCACGGAACAAGTGGGCTCGGCCTCGCAGTGCCAATGAGGCAGCAGCCGCCCAGCCTGGGGCAGGTGGCGGCTAGGACCCCTCCCTGAGGCAGGGGCTGCAGGTTCCGGGGAGGGGCCCTGGGGAGCCTGTGGTGGAGGGGCAGGAGAGGGTGGCCCCGGGGGGGCGTGGGGCGGGCCCGCGGGGCCGGCGTGCACTGAGGCGTGTGTCTGCGCAGACCCCTGCCTGTACATCCCGCGCTTCGCCCACCTGCTGGAGTTCGGCGAGAAGAACCACGAAGTGTCCATGACGGCCATGAGGCTCCTGCAGAGGATGAAGCGGGACTG